ATGATCAATATAGTCAAGCCAAATGTATGGTTTTTGGAATTGAATCTCCGTGTGTTGTATATTTTCATATTTTTTTTGCAGCTAGTGTATCAAAATTCAGAAACACCACCAATTGATTTTAGGGATTTAATTAATGTATATTAGTTGCAACCCGTTATGAAACCTCATGAACTAAAACGGAACAGAATGGGTCTATTCAATTGTAAGACTCGTGTTTTTTTTAGTATATTATCAAAGAAAGGCAAAAAAATAAATTACATATGTATATGACACAGAAAGATATTCTAACACCACTAACATGTCACAAATCCTAATGATGTCATTTATATTTTCTTCTCTTCTAATTTCTTTTATTGTTTGTTTTTAAGAATTATATTCTTTTTTATTCTCATCAATCAGTTTTTATATATAAAATATGAACAATTATTTTTACGAAGATATTTTTGAAAGGCTTTTTTTGAATGAGATAGTTTTTAATTTTTTTTAACTTTATACAAAAATTTATTTTCGTTTATCATAATTATTTACTAATTAGATTTTAGTATTTTTATAATAAATTATCAATAAACAAAAAAAAAATTGTACAACAATATAAATTATTTATCATAAATCAAAAATATAATTTTTATATTTAAAAATTTATTTATTAAAATTTTAAATATAATTTATATATTTAAATATGATATTTATCTATATAGATAATTTATTTTAAATTTTGTAATCTTAACACTCGTATAAATTATTAATTATTATTCTAGTATATATATACATAAAATAAGGTTGTTAGCAATAATTATTTAGATTTTTTTCCTACTTTATTATTATGAAGATCTTATCAAAATATTACATTTTTTTAATAAAATTGTCAATAAAATAATAGATTATTTGTAAGGAATAAAATAAATAATTTAAAATAATATTAATTTTAAAAATTTGTAATCGTCTTTATTACAGACCTTATATAATATCAGCACCTTATAAACGCATAATCAACTTCTGAACTTGAATTTCTTTTCAAATATTTATTTTTAATTATTTTTATTGTTTTCCTTCATAAATTATGGTGGCGACTTTTTTTTTTATCTACGATTTTTTCGTTGTCACATCATGATCCTGAAATAAATATATTTTAATATATAGATTGACATGAAATAAATTTTCATGGGTGCATACCGCTACCGAAAAAATCACTTCCTCTCGACTATTTCTCAATGAATGCACCGCTTCATATTTATTTTTTGATCAGGTCAATGCTATCTTTGTTTTATCAACATCGCTACATAACATATATAAAATCACTTACTTGGCTCTCTCAATGAAAAGTTCTCCATAACATATATTTCATAAACCTCTTTTGCATATTTTCTCCATACCCTTATTCGTTATTCCATGGCCAATTATCATTATTTAAAGCCATTCAAAGCCTTTTTTCTAGCTATTCTCCTTGTTTACTTGCATTTTGTTGGTTCTTCCATTGCAATAAGGACAATGGCAACTATGAGCCCAAATGAAAGCTCAGAACTTCTCAAGCCAAAGCAGCACAAAGATAATAATAATGTCTTCAACTTCTTTCCTAAAATGGTGCCAATACCACCTTCAGGCCCTTCAGGTAGGGAAAACGCTGGGTGGAACCCTTCTCCGCCCTCATATTTGACTTGAATAAACAATGCTTCATAAATGATGGCAGTGCCACTTTAGGTTTTGAATTGATATAAGAGATGCAAGTTTAATTTATATCAAACACTATTATATTATATATTCCTAAAGGGTCTGAATTATTTATGTGTACAAGACACGATATATGTGTCATATATTTTACTTATTGTTCAATAAGAAGGGCTTTTTTATCTTATTATACGTTCATTTTGTCCTCCATACTTTTTTGAAACTAGCTAGTATATCAAAATTCAGAAACATAGCCTCATTCAAGTACTACGTAGTACATGCCGCCACTTGTTTTTGCCAAATAATCTACACAATAATTTTTATTATATTATCAAAGAAAGGCAAAAAAGAATAATAAATCTTTATATGTATACGATACGTACAAAAATATATTCTAACATGCACCACTACAGTAACTCAGTAACATGCAACGAATCCTAATCATTTATATTTTCTTCTCTTCAAAGTTCTTTTATTGTTTATTTTTTGAATTATCTCCTTTTTATGTTTTCATCCATCGTAAATTAAATTATTTTTCATTTTATTTATTTCTATTATTAATTAATAACCTGTCCCCAAATATGTTGCACATAAATCTAAACCAAGTCCACTATAATAATGGAACAAAACGAATTGAAACATGATATTGATAAATATAAGAATTAAATAAACATAGTAAAATGAATTAATCAGTTGTGGCCAGAGAAAAAGTATATGTTAAACTCGTAACAGCAAATATAGGAAACAATGCAGTAAAAATGATAAAAGACGGAGAGAAGATAACTGAGTGGCTTCCAAGTAAGATAAAACATATATGGGATAATGGTCAAGTAAGTTGTGGGTGCCATGAAAGAGTTGTTGCTTGTGGATAAGAGAGCATGGTCTCAATGGTTCACGGTGGTTAATTTCAAACGTCAGAATCTGTTGCCAGAATACGTGAGTGAGAGGATAAAAATCAGCTGTGAGGTGCAGAGAGAACAAAAAAAAAATTATATGTGTGCTGTACTGCTGATTTAATAATTATTGAAGAGTTAAATAATCATATTTATTTAATTTGTTTTATTTTATTTAAAATTATCTTTCTTTTTTAAGTCAAAATACTGTTTGAACAAAAATTATGGGACAGTGGTCATGAAGTTTTCAAATAATTTAATAATCTGATTCAACTGATTGGACCAACTGATGTTAGTCAGATTTTAAAACTATATTTCTATGAGGCAAGTCTTTGTAGCTTAAAAAATGGGGCTTACATCCATGCTGGTTAATTAGTTGGTGTTGTGTTTGTTTTGATGCTTCAATGTAGCAACCCAAGTTAATGGTCCAATGCAACACTATTTGTAGTAATTATGTGCAATGTCATGCATGCCACCAATCTCAACTTTGAAATTGTTAAGGAAACAATCTACACAAAAAAATATATTTAAATTTAAATTATATATACAAATAAATGTTATATTTAAATATATAAAATATACTAAAAATTTGTATTAATAATTTTTTAAATATATAAATT